TTTTTTTTTTTTTTTTTTGTATACGGTAATCTAAGCATAATTTTGGGGATTTCATTCTTTTTTTTTTCGATAAATGGAGAACAAATTTTGAACTGTAGCCCTCGGTCGATTGTGCCATTTGCCCAGAATTTGCAGAAACGTGAAATTGTGATGATTTTTTGGTTCAAAATAAAAGGATTGAAAATATGTATTTATTTTTTCCATCCCCAGAGACGAGCAAGAGCATTGAATCGACATCAAATTCGCCGTATCTGAAGGTTGAAGCTTCGGTATTCCCGTGGGACGCAAAGGTGAGCTCAAAAAATTAAAGATGGAGCTATCGAGGGAGAAGAATGAACTAGTTTCTGCAAAAGTCAATTTTGTACAGACATAAGGGTAATTTAGTCCTTGGAATGTGTAACATGCCAATTAATCGATCGAAGTAAAGATGGGATTCATTTATGCAAATCCCAACCCGAAAAGTAAACAAAGGACTGATTGCTGACATGTAAAGTTGTATTGGATAATTTATCTTATCTCATCCTGCAAAGTAAAAGACCCCTAAATAAATTATATTTATCTTTATAATAATAAAAATAATAATATTTATTAAAATTTATTAGAAAAATAAAATTATTTCTCAGTTGATATATTTATGTTTAATGTAGTTATATGTTGTAAGTTAAAAAAATTATTATAATATAACACAAGTAAGTCACACAAATAAAAAGTGTCATATTAAATATATAATAATATATATATTTAATAAAAGGTATTTAAAATTTCAACTACTTTTTCATTAATTTTAGATTTTAAGGAAAAAATTAGCAAGCACCCGTGTAATACACGGGCGTTGTACTAATAATAAAATAAACATACATAAATATAATTAATTCTGTATTTATAAATATCTTTTTATAATTATACGATATTTTAGTATTAACAAAGAAGTAAAAAATATTAACTATTAACTAATGAAAAATATAAATAAAATTAAATATTCATAAAAATAATATATAAGTTTGTATTTGGGAGGAAAACTGTTAGGAAAATGCTACATTTCTAACCTAGGCTATGTTGGTGGACAAATAAGCTAACATATAGCTTATTGGTTAGCTTATAAGCTATCTGCATTCAAATAATTTTTTTTGGTAAGACGGGTTTTTTATAAAGTTCGAGCTTCTTTGAGTAGCTTTTCAAGTAAACTCATTGAAATTTTTATTTCAGCTAGCTTATCAGCTAATTTTACCAAACACTTTTATCATATAAGCTAGTTTTTTCGCTATAAGTCATAAGTTATAAGTTATAAGCTCGAAAATTGTTGATAAGCTATAAGCTAGCTCATCAACTAGTTTTACCAAACATAGCCCTAGTGTGCAACTAGGTCGACAACACAAGTGAAACTATCCACTTGTGTACTTTTTTTTTTTTGACATTTATGTGGTCAACCTATTTGCACACTATATTGATAATGTAGCATTTTCCAAATTATAAACCGTGCATATCGTATCAATCCAACACCGTTTTGTATTATTTTAATTTTGCATTGCTGAACTGTAAACGCAAATTTGACAAAATTTGAGAACCTCTAATTGGGTATGCATTTGAGTGCCGGTTTGAGCGTGATTTTAAATTTGTGTTTAAGAATGTGTCTCGGTTGCTTGCACCATTGGAAAGTCCCTTAGGGAAACAAATGCATAACACTTGTAAATCTTGTTTGAGGGAACTTAATCATTAAATATGTCGACCCTCTGTTAATTAAAAAATCATACTTACGCTATGAAATGCTATAATTTTATTTATGTAGGTTTATTATACTACACAATTTTAGTTTGAAAGTATTCTAGTTTATTGAAAAGTATGGTTGTCTAACCATTAAACTTGCCTAACAGTACCCTAAGTGATTATTCTTTTTTCTTCTGTGAAGAATTCAAGTTAGTTATCACCACATTTTTCGACCTGGACTACATCGACGAGTTGACCTGGCACTAGAGTCAGTCCCGGTGGGTCATTTAGATCGGGTAACAATGGGACTGGTCAAAATCCAATCAACTCGGCATAGACCTTGTCGATTTGGGCATTAACCGGGCCCGATCAATCCGACTTGACCCGACTACTATAATTTGTTTGTTATATATTTAAATATTTTAGCATGATTGAAATATAAAATATGTATATGTATTTATGTGATAGATACTTATTGTAATGAGATATAATATTATTAACAGGTTGAAGTATTAAATTTAGTTATAAATTACTCCCTCCTATTTTTTTGAAATGTCATTCTAGTTTTATCAACTATTAACTAAATAAATGTCGTTTTGGATCTTTTGTACATATTTTTTCATTATTACCCTCATTTAACTAATAAATACATTACGTCTTTTCATATTCTCTCTTCACTTTTTTTCAAAACATTCATCTCTATCTTCATTAAATAAGGTTATTATTGACAAAAAAATATTCTTAATAAATGTGCAACATCCCAAAACGACATTTATTTAAAATAGGAGGTAGTATTTATTTTCGTTATTTTTATATATTTATTTAATAAAATAGTTTATATCCCCACTATCTATTAATCCAGAACGCGCTGAGCCTACGTGGCTACTTCTGGTGTTTCAGAATCCTATGTGGCAAAATTACATGCTTAGTTATTAGGCTTGGGTAAATTTTAATTTAATTCCAAACCAAAAATGATTAGGTTCGAATTACCATAAATATGTTGATTATTTATGGTCATGTTACATACATTAATTGCATTTTAATATCATTCTTTATTATGACTATTGAATTGTATATGTATTTTAAAATTTAATAACTTTTGTATTTTTTATCAGTTTTACATATGTAATATATCAAATTAATCTTCTTTTGATGAGCTTCGATTTAACATCCATATTGTATGTATAAAAAAAATAATTTATATTTATCTTTATAACAATAATAAAATTATTTTTAATATTAATTAGAAAAATAAATTTATTTATCAACTAATATATTTAATTTCAAGTAGTTATATGATATAAGTTATAAAAACAAATATAATATAACACATGTAAATTATAAGTAACACATATCATTCTAAAATATATAGTAATATTTTTTTTGTAAAAAAGTAAACTAAATTTAATATAGTTTTCTCATTAATTTTAAAATTTAAGAATAATTTTTTAACAAGCACCCGTGTAATACACGGGTGTTGTACTAGTAATTTATCAATTATGAAAACTAATTACCCGATTCAACAACGACTCAGCGGCTGAACAAATGACCTGAAGGCTGGCGTGAGTCGTAAGATTATCGGGCATGGTTTAAAAACATTGGTTACATCAGAGTTGAGATTTAAGAAATTATAGTCAATGCTTATATTAATAGCATTTAAATTCAAACTTTATTGTGGTAGTGTTCCATGTAAAACACTAGTGTACCTTCTCATTAGATATGGCCACATCCAGTTTCAGGTCGTAACTGTCGATTCTGGGCTAAGGGTTGGACGACCCTGAATCAGGGTATGAGTAATAACAATTGCCGGAGTAATTCAAAGTATTCTTATACTAAAGCATGTTGGATACAAATGGACCCGTTCAAACGATTTTTATATTAGTCAAAGTTAATTTGATACAAATATATCCGTTCAAAACGAAATTTTTTATTAATTAGAGTCAATTTTATAAAAGGTTGTATAATTAGTTATCAGTGTAAGTTTTTGTTTATATTTAAAATTAAATAATCAAAATTAATTTTATATAAATGTAGGAAAAAGATGATGTAAATTGATGATTAGTTAAAATTATGTAAACGAATAAACAATAACTAAAAATTAATGTAATGTATAAGAATGATTGATTCATATTTATTAATTATATTAACAATACTGAAAATAATAAATTAGAGTAAAATTGAATTAGACTTGAAGTATGAATTAATTTATTTATAAGCAAAACGACTTCATTTTATGAAATCCCCTTTCATTCTAATTCTAATACTAAATAAGCCACATTCCCTAGTTGACAAAAAAAGTAGGAAAATTCTAAGGGTCCGTTTGGTTCGAAGGAAACCAAGGGGAGGGGAAGGGAGGGGAGGGGATCTTAAATTTTTCCTCTGTTTGGTTCACCGAGGGGAGGGGAAGGAAAGGGAAATTTGTCCCTCATTTTCACTGTTTCGAAGGAAAATTGCCAACCCTCCAATTTTGGGGGAATTGGAGGGGAAATAAAAAATTTTGTCCAAGTGTACTAATTTGCCCTTTTGAACTCATTATAATTACAACATTATCTCATATAAAAAAAACTTAAATAAGGGTATATTTGTCCATTCTATTTTATTTTCCCTCCACCTTCATTTTCTAACCAAACAAGGTTAATCATTTTCCTTCACCTCCCCTCCTACAAAATCTCTCCAAACAAGGTAAAATTACTTTCCCTCCCTTCCCCTCCCCTCCCCTCCCTTCTATTAAATTCCCTCCCCTCCCCTCCCCTCCTGTGAACCAAACATAGCCTAAGGTTCCGTTACAAGATAGTACCATCAGTGTTTTTCACCATTGGATACACATATAGATTATCTTGTGTGGATAATCTACGGGGTAACCGACACTGACAGAACCATTCCTTCAACGGAACTGTAGTAGTTCCCAAAAAAGTAAATCAAAATAAGCGACATCAACCTTTATCTCCACTCACCTGCACGTCCAAACAAAACAAATATAGAAAAAATCAACTTCCATTTGCAATTTTCATCTCTTTCTTTTTCCCTACCACACCTTTCCCCCCCTTCAGACACTAAAAATAACTTCATTTTGCACACAGCCTCTCCTTTTCTCTTTTCCTATTAGATCGACTTTATGAAACAATATCTGCTGTTACGACCCACAAAAATATAAAGGGCAAAAAAAAAAAAAAAAAAAAGTGGTCTCCATTATCAAATGCTTCTAAGTTACTCCACCCGCCTGCCAAAATAAACAAACAAAATGCACCTACTCAAAGAGCCCAAAACATAACCTTAAGCAAGACTTTTCCAGTCACAACATCAGACGGGAAGTCTATCTTTTTTGGCAATCTCAGGTGATAGTTGGAAGCATAATAAAGACGCAAAGGACCACTGGTGATAGTCCGAAAGAACAGCAAGTTAGTGTTCCTGGCAAGAACTGTCCTAAGAAGGACCACGTGCTCGGAATTAGGCATTTGGAGTATGGGAAACACAATAATTGCAAATGCAGAGAGTCCCAACCCGTAGCGTACGAGAATTAGAAGCTAAATGCATGTTGTCGAAATTTCATCTAAAAAAGGGGGTAAAAGTACTTTAAGAAAACTATAACAACCTATATTGTAACACTAAGTACAGTACAGATGCCCACAGCAAAAAATACATAACAGTTGAACCTCGTCCCTAGTTCACTCGCCAATCGCCAGTTACATATTTTTTATGACATGTATTTGTATAAAGAGAGAAAACGAACGAAACCTCTTACCATGAAGAAAAATCTTTAAGTTCACTGGAAACTCCCGATTTTCTTTTCTTTCCTACAGATCCAGCTGGCAAATCGATATCAAGACTAGTGCCGGATGCTGCCCGAGCTATCTTTGCTTTCAGGTACTTCCCAACACCACCACCGACAGCAGGAGTATCTGTTGAACTAGCAACTGGATTGCTATACCACGAACCAACCTTATCCTGACAGCACCCAAGAAGCACGTTAAGAAAGCCAGAAAGTTAATAAAAGATGAAAGGCATAATTTCAGAAAAATAGACTTTACGAACATTATCTTCATCCTCAGCCTTCTTATCCTCATTGGTCTTCTCTTCTTCCTCTTCATCAGACTCCGCATAAGGATTGACAAACACATCTATACTAATTATCTTGATCTCTTCCTGAGAAGGACATAGAAAAACATCATAAGTCGTAATTAAAGCTAGGAACTGATTTTACAATATGCATAGCTAGTGAATGCTAAGAACAAATTGATCAAAATATCACGTGGAAGTGATAAGCCTAAGTTTCAGGAAGCAAACGAAGATGACCTGATGTATGGTAAGGACTAATTCAGAGTAAGGTAATAGATAATGTTCTTTGAAAAAAATACAATTTTATTTCAGTTGTAGCAATTGCTGGTGCATGAACTTCATTTTGCAGCAGTAAATGTCGTGCTAAAAGATGAACACTAATCTACAAATCACAAGCTAAGTTAACATATGGAACTTAGTATTAACAGGGTAAGTTACACTCTGCATCAATACTGCGGCATGATTCTAAGGTTGAATTTAGAGGGAGAGCCCTTGGGTCACAACAGTAAGTGGAACAAAAGAAAATTTAAAATAGAAAACTAAAAAAAAAAAAAAAGTAAGGCAAAAGTGGGGAAGATTGCAAACCTTGGGTCGGTCGTCGTCATCAACAGGTACTTTCTCCATAGCTGAAAGAGTTGTTAACCCTCCAACAACCATTCCGAATACCGTGTGTTTAAAATTCAAATGATTTGCAGACTTGTACAGGATGAAGAACTGAGAACCATTTGAGTGGGGCCCAGAATTGGCCATGCTAACAACACCTCGTCCAGAATGAACTAATCTGGAGTTGAGTTCATCTTTGAAGGGTTTCCCCCAAATTGACTCCCCACCATTCCCAGTTCCAGTAGGATCACCACCTTGAATCATGAAGTTTCTACATATAAAGTGAAATAATGCAAGATGTCAAATCAGAAACTAATGACTAAGAAAGGATCAATATAAATTAAAATACCTTATACTTCTGTGAAAAGCAACTCCATTGTAATAACCTCGCTCACAAAGAGTAATGAAGTTTTCACATGTCCGTGGAGTGATGTCACAATGCAGCTCAATGTTCAAATCACCATGTGTTGTCTGCATCCGGACATAACCTTTTCTCTTGGGATTTTTCTCAACTTTAACATATTCATATTCATTCTGGGTGACGGGATCATAAGAAGTAGAAGTGAAAGATCGTGAAGCAGCTCCAGTGGTGAAACGACTTTTAACCTGAATGATTTCAGATAAACCCAGGAGTTAATCCGGAGACAACTACTGCACACTGCTCATAACATTGATTATTTATAAAAGAATAAATCTGTCGAAATACAGTTAACCAACATCTGGGGTGGATGAAGTAATGAACTAAGATATAGATTTCAACTAGATAAATTTTATAATTCACCACCATATAGTGATTTCTTCAACATAAGGAAAATTGGACCAACTATTTGTCTGGTTTGTATTTCCGGTAGTAGGACTAGTAGGAGGCACTGCTAAGAAAATGAGCATTTAAATCCTTGCTGACCAAACATTACCAAATTGTAAATTTATAATTATTGGGCCAGCTTCTGTGAAAAACAAACAGGGCTCTTAAAAAAAAAAAAAAAAAAAAAAAAAAAAAAAAAAAAAAAAAAATCTAACCAGTTTTGCATTCACTGGTGTCCTCTCACCAGCCATGTGCATCGCTATACGGGCAGCAGTTTTATGACTAGCATCCGATTTTGCAGCAGCAGCACTTCTCCCATGAACTGCAGCAGATGCTGCATCCACTATACTGTATGTCTGCTTAGGCTTCTCACCACCCTTGGATTCAGACTCATGCTTAATGCGTGACCTTGCTTCTAAAATGGCAGCAAGAGCTGCAGCTCTTTCTTTTATAGCCTTACTTCCTCCGCCACCATGTAATGCAATTTCCTTTCCCTTTTCTGTACCGAGCTCCTTAAGCATTTGCTTTATATCTCCAGTGACGTTTATGTTGTAAGACGGGTCGGTTTCCATTTTTTTTAGTTCTGCCGTAATCAAACATAAGTACTTAAGATTGTTACTGGAAGCAGGTCTAGTGAAAATATACACAAGTAAAGCTGTTCACCTTCGTCGTCAACTTTAAGGTTTTTCTTGACGTGATCAAAGTCCACGAGAACCTTGCTATCAAGTGCATTAGGATTCTACACAGTAAGAAACAAAACAACACAAACGGGAATCATGCTTCTGAAATTTTAACTTGGGTACTAAAACTTCTACCAAGATCAGAGAGAGAATGAATTCTAACCTGAATGGTTATGATGTCATCCTTGGTGAAAGGTTCATCAGTGAGAAGCTCCTTCCAGTTCTTGGTTTTAATGTTTAATTCCTTGATGGCCTGGGAAGCAACAGTTTAATGAATTTACATTTTTGGGAATGGTAATTTGGAAGTGACTTAGAAAAGCAAAAGAAATATACCTCATAACAGAACACATTTCCTGTAGTTTTTATAGCAACTATGTGCGTGAACTCTGTGTAAACCTTATTCAGGACCGGGCAATGATACTCTCCTACAAAAAGTTAAAAATAAATAAATACCAAAAAAAGCAACATTAACTCATTAAGTAACTATAAAAGCGAAGACAGATGGTTTTAACTGTATATTTCCCTTTTCTTCAACGTAGTCCCTTAGTTAACTGCCTGTTCTATATACTCAATTAGGAATAATTATATTTGAGAACTAAAGCATCGTACCGCATTGACCCAAAATGATATAAATAACAATATAAGTTGGTAACTCCAGAGTCATGATACTAAAACCTGAACATATCCTACTTCTGCAATCATCTACATTTTACAGGTCATGACTGGATACAAGATGTATTCATCTCCAAAACATTTTTTTCTTCAGCACGTGGGGATGAGATCGAATAAATCTCCTACAAAGCAGTTATCATTAGGTCATGACGGGAGATCCTTTAGTTGCAATAGCACCGGAAACATTAAAAGAACCACCACTTGCATTTCTAATGGAGGTACACTGCAAATGCATGGTTAGATGAAGTCCCGATGGGAGTTCAACAACACAAAGAATACTTTGAAGAGAAATGCTGGAAAGGAGCTACTAAATCAGCTAAATGTATTGTGGCATCAATTTGTTCCTACTATAATATACGAATAGGCAAAAATCTACCTCAGTCAAAATTTTGCACGTTTAGTTCGAAACAGCAACACGTTTACTTGGGTATTTGGGGGTGGGGGTAGTTAGTAAAATTACGAAATAAATTAAAGCAGAAATTGCAAAATACATTTAATCTAACAAATATCACATCATTCGTATAAACTAAAAGCGGGCCTCTAATAGGCAACCTAAGTGGTAGAATTACTACTCATTCTACCACTTCATACTTTCTCAATTCTGAAATGCAGCCTTCAAACTGCTCCAGTTCCATCATAATGCTAACATGGAACAGGAAACATACTGAAACTACCTATACTAAGCATACTTCCAATCAGTGTTATTAATGACGGATGGCAGAAAATGACAGCAGGCCAATATCCTGCAGTGCCGGCCAATGACACCATCATAAATGCCATCCTTCACAAATTTAACATGGCGTTTTTGCAGAAATCCATCACGCCATTGCCGCCATTCGGTAACATCGCTTCCTATTCAAAAACACATCAAATTCAATAGCATTTAAAACTACCTTCTGAATTTTTGTGGAAAGTGAGTGGAATCAAATCCTCCTGCTTGAGCGGAACTCCAGTCACCGGATGCCTCCCGTACTTTCTGATGTACGGAATAATGTTCCTGGAAAACACCTCAAACAATCAGCACGCAAAGCATCATCATTTTTCGGCAATCAGTTCCCAACTCATTTGAAAACACAAAAAAACACACAGCAAAAAGGTTCAAAGAACACACTCACAAGACATCAAACACACTGCCATCTGCGGTGCAGACGGGGTCCTCGAACGGCGTAAACGTGAGACTGCATCAGACATTCACAAATTAACCACACTTCTAAAAAAAAAAAAAAAAAAAAAAATTACAAATATGTGAAAGCGTGAAAGGGGTTCTTACGCGCAGCAATAGAAAGGGAGGCGTTTGAAGCGGGTGCCGTTTTCTTTGGATTTGGCGCCGCCCCACTCGGTGGCCCACTCCGTTTTGGTTATAAACATCCGGTCTTTGCTGTGCTGCTTTTTCCCCATCTCTGCGGCTTACTTGAGTTGCCCTATGAGCTCAGAAGTTTGATGGAGCACCGACAAGGTTAGTGTTCTCGAGGAATTGCGGAGATCGATTGTAATAGCAGGGTTTGATTTCTAAGGGTGTCTCCAATGGTTAGCTATTTGGCTAGCTATTATGACGTGGACAGGGGAAAAGTAAGAGAGAGAGTAGTCACTAGCTACTAACAAATAGCTTATCTATTTCACGTAACCCAATATTATGTGAGAGGAGTATGTGGGTCCAATAGTGTAAAATAGTTATTTTTCTTATCTCTCACATCCATGTCAGCTGACTATATAGCTAGTAATAGCTATTACCATTGGAGATGCCCTAATCGATAGCGGTGGATTTATGATAAAAGTGGAAGTTGCGGCCGCCGAGATGGTGGTCAGCCTCTCCCGTCAAACATACTCGAGCTCGTGCAAACCTTATGCTAATAATGATTTTTTTTGTCCAATCTCCACACTCCCGAATTTTTTTAATACAATTACTATTTTGAAATGTCGAACCATGAGTTGAATCTTAAGATAAAAACTTCAGTCATGTTATTGCGGAACATTGACTATTATATTGGGTTATGCAATTGTACGAGATTGGATGTTACAAATCTCTCTACTCATATGCTTGAATGTAAGACATTGACTGAATTTAACGCACGAGAGAATGTGTTGATTCAAAGTTGGAGTACTTTTCAAATTTCAGCAGAGACAGTTTTTCTCTGATGGTTTCTTATGCTATGACGATTAACAAGAGCTAATGCTAATTTTTATCACATGTTGAAATATTCTTAGTGAAGATACCATGATAGACGAGAGATTGAGCGAGAGAGATGAAGAGTTGCAGAAGAAAAAAGGAAAGAAAACTGATATTATTGAATGAATGACTGAATCATGTAATCTAACAAAGAACTTCCTAACAGAGTCTTGTTGTTGACAGACAGCCATTGACTCCAAAATATTACAAGTACAGAACACAAAGGCACCACAATTACATTTGATAATCGACTTGTATGTAACATATTCACCTCAAAGATCTTTTAAACATGTTATAATACCGAGTAATGGACAATGAACCTTGGTCTATAGTACTTAAATATTTTTCAAGTTGGAAAACCCTAGGTCCACTGCTCATGCATATATAGTTTTAATCTCATCCCACACTTCTTTAGCCGATGTGAAAAACAAGAGAGAATGACGAATTTCTTTGGAAATAGAGTTTCATATCCAAGACAACACCAATGAATCCGCTCTTATTTTTTACGCTAAGTGCTATTTGAACAACGCGAGACCAAGAGACGAAGTTGTCACCATACTACTTGAATGCCAGTGATAATCCAGGAGCGTTGATTGTCGCTTTCAGTCAGCGTCAGTCGTATTTAGTTGTTTCTTGTGTCACAAATTAAAATGACTCGAAAACATTAGTTCGCAGGGAGAATGATGTGCCTACAAGACCAAAAATATTATCTACGATAAGATTTTAATAAAACATAATAGTTTTTTTAAATTCCATTATTTAGTTTTCTTTTAATTCACGAATATAATAATAAGTAATAGATTTAAAATTGTCCACGTGAACATTTGACCCCCCGTAGTCCTTCAAACCTCCCAAGAAAACAGGAGCCTCTAATTCTCTTCACTCTACAATCTCTTTTTTCTATTTTTAGGCGCCTTCAGACAGTTTCTACTACCGAAAACATCGGATAAAACAAAACTTAATAAAGAAAACATGGAAACTTTGTTGTTGAGGTTGTCTGATCATATCACCTGAAGAACACAAAACAGTCTTTATTCCTCATGTCATTTATTCACCATACAAATGAAACCGTAGCTTGTATTCTCTCAGGGGTTTCAAAGTTTTAATCACTCACTAAATAAAATAAAACAAAAACGAGAAAGATCATAAAAACTGAACTTGGGCCCTCTTTGATATTTTGATAGAAGGATTAAAAAAAAAAGAAAATGGAGAATTTGTTAAGTGATAATTGGGATGTAAAGCCGAAGCATGAAGGGGAGGAGGCTCTGCAGAGATGGAGAGATCTGTGCGGGGTCGTCAAGAATCCGAAACGACGGTTCAGATTCACCGCCAATCTATCCAAGCGTTACGAGGCCGCGGCCATGCGCAAGACCAATCAGGTCTGCTCTCTCCTTGTCATATTCTTGCTTTCACAATGATCAGTGGATTCATAATGTGTGTGTTGGTTGTCTGAGTACTTTAAAATTAAAGATGATATTTTTCAGGTTTGATCAGAGTATCACATTTTGTGTGACCTGTATATGAATAAGATGATCTTCTTATTTGGTTAAAAAAAGAAACATAGTTTGATCTCTACCACTTAAGATGACCATATTCTTAGGCATGCCTGATAATTAATTGCATTGTTGTGCCTCGCTTAATATGCCAGGAGAAGCTGAGAATAGCTGTGCTCGTCTCCAAAGCCGCATTCCAGTTCATACAAGGCGCGTTTCCTCACTCAAATTTTGTTTTTTTTTTTTTTCCAAACCATTGTTCTAAAGACTTTCGGGTCTAACTATTTGTTTTCCCTCTCCAGGCATGCAGCCGAGCGATTACACTGTTCCTGAGGATGTCCAGGCGGCCGGCTTCCAGGTCTGCGCAGACGAGCTTGAATCTATCGTGGAAGGCCACGATCTCAAGAAGCTCAAATTCCACGGGGGCCCACTCGGCCTGGCCCAGAAGCTCGCCACCGACCCTGAAAACGGACTCTCCACCGAGGCCGAATCTCTCTACCGCCGCCGCCTCATTTACGGCACCAACAAGTTCCAGGAGACAGAGCCACAGAGCTTCTGGGTGTTCGTGTGGGAGGCTCTTCAGGACATGACCCTTATGATCCTCGGCGTGTGCGCCTTTGTCTCCCTCATTGTAGGCATTGCTACCGAGGGCTGGCCCAAGGGAGCCCACGATGGCCTAGGCATTGTCGCTAGCATCCTACTCGTCGTCCTCGTCACCGCCACCAGCGACTACCGCCAGTCCTTGCAGTTCCGAGACCTCGACAAGGAGAAAAAGAAGGTCTCGATCCAAGTCACTAGAAATGGGTACCGTAAAAAGATGTCGATATACCACCTCCTCCCAGGGGATATCGTGCACCTCTCTATCGGTGACCAAGTCCCGGCGGACGGCCTTTTTCTTTCCGGCTTCTCGGTTATCATCAACGAGTCAAGTCTGACGGGGGAGAGCGAGCCTGTGATGATAGGGTCCGAGAACCCATTCCTGCTCTCCGGGACCAAGGTTCAGGATGGGTCGTGCAAGATGCTTGTGACGACAGTCGGTATGCGGACCCAATGGGGCAAGCTGATGGCCACGCTTATAGAAGGAGGTGACGATGAGACCCCGTTGCAGGTGAAGTTGAACGGCGTGGCTACTATTATTGGGAAAATCGGACTCTTCTTTGCGGTGGTGACTTTCGCGGTTCTCATGCAGAAGATGCTCGGGCGAAAGTGGCGGGAGGGGTCCACGCTGAGGTGGAAGGGTGATGATGCGATGGAGCTGTTGGAGTATTTCGCAATCGCCGTGACGATAGTTGTTGTGGCGGTACCCGAGGGGCTCCCGTTGGCGGTGACACTTAGTCTGGCTTTTGCGATGAAGAAGATGATGAACGATAAGGCGCTCGTGCGCCACCTGGCGGCCTGCGAGACGATGGGCTCGGCAACCAACATATGCAGCGACAAGACGGGGACTCTCACGACAAACGTCATGACGGTGGTAAAGTCGTGCGTATGCTTGAACGTGTATGACCTGAGCAGGCCCGGGAGTGAGAAAGAGATGCGTGCCGCGCTCCCGGACGGCGTGGCCAAATTGCTGCATGAGTCGATCTTCAACAACACGGGAGGAGAGGTCGTGGTCAACAGGCGGGGCCGGCGTAAGATTCTTGGGACGCCCACCGAGACAGCCATACTCGAGTTTGGCCTCTCGCTCGGCGGCGACTTCCAACGGGAGCGGAAGGCGGTCAAGGTGGTCAAAGTCGAGCCGTTCAACTCGACCAAGAAAAGAATGGGGGTTGTCCTGGAGCTTCCGGAAGGTGGAATGAGGGCACACACGAAGGGCGCGTCGGAAATAGTTCTAGCTGCATGCGATAAAGTGATCAATTCGGAAGGGGAGGTTGTGCCGCTTGATGATAAATTTTCTAGGCTTCGCCTCAACGAGATTATCGACATATTTGCGAGGGAAGCTCTCAGGACTCTGTGTCTCGCGTATATGGATCTCGAGAAAGGGTTTTCGTGCGATGATACGATTCCCGAGTCGGGTTATATTTGTATAGGGATTGTGGGGATTAAGGATCCCGTTCGTCCAGGGGTGGCCGAGTCAGTTGCGCTTTGCCGTTCGGCGGGCGTGACTGTTAGGATGGTTACAGGGGATAATATTACGACCGCGAAAGCCATTGCTAGAGAATGTGGGATACTGACAGATGATGGTATAGCAATAGAGGGTCCTGTGTTTCGCGAGAAGAGTATGGAGGAATTGATAGAACTGATTCCCAAAATCCAGGTATGATTATACTATTATATATGTTTGTATGTATGTGTGTCCATTTTTTTATGACGTGTTGTTCAGCACGTGACGTCGTGATGATGGTTTATTTGTGCTTTTTCCAGGTGATGGCTCGTTCTTCGCCGATGGACAAGCATACATTGGTGAAGCACTTGAGGACCACATTTAATGAGGTGGTGGCAGTGACTGGTGATGGGACCAATGACGCGCCTGCACTTCATGAAGCGGATATCGGTCTCGCCATGGGCATTGCCGGGACTGAGGTAAAGTTCTTCCAAAAATTTCAGTAGACTAATGGATATTGAATTAGCGCACATTTTAATTCTTGCACTTATCGATTGCAATTGCATTTTCACGATTGTGTATAGGTGGCCAAAGAGAGCGCGGATGTCATAATTCTGGACGACAATTTCTCCACAATTGTGACAGTCGCCAAATGGGGCCGCTCGGTCTATGTCAACATTCAAAAGTTTGTCCAGTTCCAGCTTACTGTTAACGTTGTAGCATTAGCTGTAAACTTCTATTCTGCTTGTAAGACTGGTAAAAATAAAACATACTCTCTCTCTCTCATTCTCTTTTTTTTTTGTTTAAATTTTGTTCTAGAGATGCGTTTGGTTTGTCAACTTAATGATGGTGTTTCATTTTCCTTTCGCAGGAAGCGCGCCACTTACTGCTGTTCAACTTCTGTGGGTGAATATGATAATGGACACGCTTGGCGCACTTGCACTAGCAACCGAGCCTCCTAACGATGAGCTAATGAAGAGGGCACCTGTTGGAAGAAAAGGAAACTTCATAAGTGCTGTCATGTGGAGGAACATTTTGGGACAATCCTTGTACCAATTTTTCATAATATGGTTCCTTCAAGGATACGGGAAGACACTCTTCAGGCTTCACGGCTGCCCTGATCCTGACCTGGTCCTCAACACCATCATTTTCAACACTTTCGTCTTCTGCCAGGTAATCGATCAATTGCCTTTATTCGCAAGTTTTATTATTATTATATTATTTTTTTTTACTTTTTTTTCCACCCCTTGTTTTTGCAGCTTTTCAATGAGGTGAACTCACGAGAGATGGAGAAGGTAGATGTGCTTGATGGCATACTGGACAACTATGTATTCGTGTTAGTTGTTGGGGCCACTGTCTTCTTCCAGATCATTATTGTCGAGTATCTTGGGACATTTGCTAGCACGACCCCTCTCACGTTCATGCAGTGGTTTATGAGCATTTTTTTCGGATTCCTAGGGATGCCTATTGCTGTAGCCTTGAAGCAGCACTTTCCCGTTGATGCCTAACGAGTGTTGCGTGATAAATCTTCTATTGATGTTATCTATGGCCTTGCCGAATGTCGTCATAGTGAACCATCATCGACTTACATGCATGGCAGGATTCAGGTTACAGGGAATTTCAGGCAGGAAAAAAAAAATGGTAATGAGAGATTTTGGTTTCTTGAGGGTTTAGCATTAAAGCTGCACACATGGTAGTTAGCAATTAGAATTAACATGAAATTTTATTCACTTTTCACACAATTTTTTTTTTTTTTTTTTTTTTTTTTCTCAAGTGTAATTTGAAAACAACAAAAGTGTTCATTTTGTTCAGTCCCTAGTTTTTCATGTAATTGGTCCAGTTGACATTTAACTGAATTATAATAGCTATTTTTCAGTACCTTATTAGATTGCATTATTGAGATGTGTAAGAAATATAGTTAAAGACTTTTGAGGTTTGGAATGATAAACAAATGAAAATCAAGGACATTCTAATGTCCCATTGAGGTTATATTTCACCTCCTCTCACTAACCTAATGACTGAACCAGATGAATCTGCACATGTAATAAAATACTTCACCATCACTGCCTTAAAAATTTTAACCATCACACTGAAAAAACACAAGTTAATGAGTCTTTTATGACTATTTCTATTTGTGGTAGATAGAAAAGCTGGTTGATGCAATAGTAAGGTATTTTGATAAATTGAAAAACTTCGTTAGGTTTACTTGCATCCAAAGAGAAATCGACCTATCTTCAGACGGATTCTTTTTAAGTACGGAACTCTACTCTTTTTGTGACAACACAAATCTCAAAGGTTTCTTTCTAAATATTCCAAAGTTTTTCTGGGCTCATCAGTTGTACAGCATCAGTTACAGGAAGCATCAATAAAGAGATTGCTGCTAATGTTGGGATTTGAGAAATGCACAAGATCATAAATAAAAGTTTCCTCAAATAATGAGGAGCTAACTTTGGCCATAACATTTTTTTGAAAACCCACTTTCATCAAGAGAGCTCTTGATTCTTTATTCTTCCTCCATTGCATGCTTCCTTTCATCATAAATATATGTTTTCCAAACAGGCTCAATCAAAGCCTTTGCACCAAACGAAAACTTGTTTCCATCACCGTCACTTTTATCCATCACCTCAGCTTCTATCTCCAGTTTAGCGTATATCTCACCAAGACATGCCAACATCATCCTAAGTCCTCCCCAGTCTCCCTCAGTCCCGACTAACTCCACACACACGAAACGCAAAAGACCAAAGACAACCTCGAAATTCTTGCTCCCAAAGGCACTAAGTGCACCACTCAAGAATTTGAACCCCACAGCATCTAATACTTCACGGTTAGCTTTCAAAAGCTTGCATGTTGTCTCCAAAAATCTTCTAAATGCTGGGAAATGATGAAGGTTCTCTGTCTCATCATCTGAGCCTGCCTCTCTTACTTTAACTATTTCAATCCCAGCGATGACGCAATACCATGTGGGGAGATAAACCAATATTGCGCTGTCAGTTGCATCAGGTCCCCCATCTGGAGCTTCATTCAGTAAGGACCAAGATCCCATAGCCAGAATGAGATCAGGAATCCATGGCTGAACAACCGAGGTCAAACGAGCAGCAAATCCATACCCGAGAAACTCTTCAACTGAAACAAATAGATTAAAGAGTTCGTTCACGAGACCCTGAGGTCCCTCTGGAGATAAGGGAACTCTGTCAGCTTTAAACACTAAGTTGAGTAGCTTGGCTCCGTATGTGAACGAACTTTTCAAACAAATAAATATATCCTTTCGGTCCTCCTCAGTGACTGGCAACTGGGAAACCGAATGCTCCCTTAGATTTGTCATGATGAATTTCAAATATTCTATAGTGAAATTCAAGCATCTTTCTTGATAGTGAGGAGGAAGAAGACTCATAGTTGCTGCGTCGACAATGAACTTCGCAACTACAGTTAACATCTTCACCATATTTGATATCCGTATTTGTTTTGTCAAACCGGTACCTATACATAGAAAGTAATCGCAAATTGGTAAGTGTAATGATGGCTTTGGAGAGGAGGCAACAAATAAAAAGAGGATATGATTGTGGTGATTATCCAATTTACTAAACATTTGAACAATAGAAACATGACACTGTTACAAAACAAAAATGGGATCATCTTTAACAGCACATCAAAACAAAGCTGAGTAACAGATAGCCATGACAATCTTTATTTTAGTAACATGAAAACAATTATTAATGTGAAATTACTTTCATTTTTATTCTACTTCAGTAAAGGAACGAAAAAATGAAAATGGAAAGAATTATCATTGGATAACGAGACATACCAGATTGACTTTCTCTAGCATCTTTACTGCATCCAGGAGTCATCTTGCCAGCACTCAGAGATTCTAAAGGTGGCTTTTCTGAATTTTTGTTATTGTTTGCGTTGAATACATTATATGCACAGTGAAGCAGATGGTCCAGTGTCAAGTCTAAGGTAGTTCCCTGGTACACAGAATAACAAGCAAGAAACAGCTTCAGTGCCATTTCAAATCAACATCATCAACATCAACATACCCAGTATATTCCCAACAGGTTGGTGTCTGGGGGGTCAGTTGTACGCAGACCTTACCCTTGTAATTATACAAGGAGGCTGTTTCCATAGCGACCCAAGGTGCGTTGCGTCGTTTGATATATTTTTTTCTAAAAACTTCACTAATAGAAGAAGCACTAGAATTTAATTGAGCCACCTTGATATAGTCCATTATTAGCACTATGCCAGGAGAATTGTCAACAATGACTCTTCCAGCTCCATATGCAATGGACAACTGCCATTTCAAATCACTAACAGTAAAATTTTCAACTCTGCCATTGAATGACTAAAACCAATATGACACTACTATTTCATGTTTGTGCTATTTGTTGGCTGAATGATGGAAACTAAACCAACCTACATAAGCATGAATCAATGATACTCTTTCAAGCATCTACATAGAGATAATTCCAGGTAGGAAAATTTCACCTATCCTGCCTTTCTAATGTGATTCCAAAAGAATTTCAACATCATTACGAAGTGATGTTGATTTCAAACAAATATGAAATAACTATGAAATCAAGCAACCAACCACCCAAGTTATACAACAAAATATAGCAAGTGCCCTATTGCTGGGTGATTACAAAGAAGCTGAATCAAGTACAGAATATTTGAAAGTGCTAGGTGGATTGTGGTGCAAGTGAATAACTGAAATTGTAAAATCACCCATTATGCATGTTGAGACACATAACTGAGAATCCTGTTGAGAGACATTAGGAAGCATATATATCACTTGCCTTTGAAGAAACCCTGGCACCAACTTTCTGAAGTTTATAAAGAGACATATGCAGGGTCAGGGTCGCGTATGCAGAAACAGGACAAGTCTTCAAGTAATCATGCTCCAGGCAATGGAGAAAGCTAACTTCAGCAATGACCTTCAGCGCTAAGTATGCACTTTCTAAAACCCCAGAACCTAGTAAAGCTTCCCTTGTATTCTCAGACAGAAGCAAGTCCTTTATTTGCCACGCTACTCCAACTGCAACGGCATAATCTTCCAAAAATGTGTTCTTGTCAGTTTTAGATGACTTTTTCTGATTGCCCCTTTTCAACTTTGATGATGTTTTCGTGGAAGATCTAGTTCTCGTTCTACTTGCCGACTTTCCATTTTCCTGTGCTAATTCAATACCAAAACATACATGACATCCAGAGGCAGCCTTTTGAAGCAACCCAATCAGAGCTTCAAGCATGTCATCAAACCAATCACACGACAAGATCATCTTGTGGGCAGACCTCACTTCGGCTTGTTTTTCAATATTATCTGACAAACCACTGCATTTTGTAATTAAGCCAATGCAGTCTTCAAAAAGGTCACCTGTAGCATCCAGCGACAAGGTCGAGATAATGTTGCAAACAGATGATTGAGCACGAGCAGTACAAGCTACCGTGAAGAGGGTCTTCAGCTTTTTAGCCGATAACTTCACCTTGAGAGCAGCCTGGAATGAAGAATCCTTTGCAAGATTAGTGCAAAGGTGAGAGGCAGCAGTGAGTAATCCCTCAATGTACTCAACTTCAAGCTTGGAGGACAGAACCAAACCAATAAGACTTGTAAAGAGTTGCATTAGGGATCCAACGGATGCTCCTTCTGTTGCTACAAGCTCACAAAACCTTGCTCCAGCTTGGGGAGACCTTTTAATTAGAGTAATACAGCGTTTGCATGCTTCTTCCTCTGTTGCTTTAGAGGGAAAGTAGGATGGTATAAGAAGCTTTGTGATTTTTCTAGCAATGACAGGTTGATCGTCAGCAAGAACAGAAAGTAATGCATCCATCTGTACTACCTGAAGGAGCAAAATCAAAAATAAAAAAGAAAATAAGTAATAAATAAATAAAAAGTAACAAAAGGAGGAAGGAAAAAAGTGATAACGATGATGTATTCTGTATATAGGTATTACCTTATGGAACTGAAAGTTGCTAATATCATTTAAAAGTAGAAGTAGATCAGCTAGAGCTGCACGTACAACTGATGCAGGATCTGTGATCAGAGTACCCAACCTAGGTAAAAGCACTTTAAGGACCTCATGAGATTGAGGATTGCCAAGTAAATATATGACACCGTTCACTGTTGAGAGTCGGACCTCTGAGCAAGAGTCGTGAGCCATGTCATCGGATATTTTAGTAATAATCTTTGTGATGGTTGGTGAAGGAATAACTTCCCAAAACATATGAAGAATTCGACAGCAGCCTTCTACTGCTACCCCCCTCACATCAGGACATTCATCCATAAGTAATTTCTCCAAAAGAAAGAATTGCTTTTCCAACAGCGTATCTTTGACCTCCTTAGTCGAATCAGGATCTTCCAAAGGAAACAGGTCCAGAAGTAAGTGCAATGAATTTTGACGAACATTGGAGTTTGCAACCTGCAGGAAAGACCCTGTTATACATTTGAATTTAAATGTACACATATGTTCTAGTTGTTATGTGCATACTTGTTTCATATAACTACTGGTAAAAAGGCAATTAGACTGTAGTGGTGAATTAAATAGGAGAACAAAATATGTTGTATCTCTAAGTGGACTCATAAACAAAATTCTCTTCCTGTCTGAGAGTCGTGTTATGTAATATATAATATAAGTAAAGTGAAGCAAGAGCTGACATTTCTTCACTTCATGCTAAGGAAGCATTAACACATATGATCTCCTTCTGCAACAGTGATTGGAATCCCTTTATCTAGTAAATATCCAACACTTGAACAATAAACAAGAAAGTAAACACCAACTAATGAAGTACATTAAGAACTGTATGCTATATCTGACAATTTCTAGTACGCTACTGCATTGCAACCAATGCAAGATCAGATATTATTTTAGCAACTGCAACATTCATATGCTCATTGCCTTCCAATAATCGCAGGAGCAACTCAAGTCCAATTCATTTAGGAAACATAATAACTAAAGGTAGCTTCTTCAGCTATCAATGAGCCAGTAGATGTGCAACATGCTCTGCTCTAAAATACATATATCACATCAGCAGTAAAAAGAAAAAGAAAAAAAAAAATGTCTAAGCAAAGAATACAGAACCTGAAGCGACCGGAAGATCATTGGCTCTGCCAGACCAAAAATCAGTTTCTCTACTCCTTGAGTCGTCCGTTGATTAACAAATCCCCACAAAATTTTTCGAATTGAAGTTGCTAATTCTGGTGATCCGGCGTACAATGCACCCTCAAACAATCCTTGTAAAAAACCATTCTCAATTTCATGCTTGCACTCCCCCTCCACTGCCTTCCAAGCCCTGAAAACAATTTCACCATATGCCTCCAACATTGATTTACGGCCGAATGGGATCTGTGACTTTATCATGGCACATAGTTCCTTCGTGAGGCGCACACTAAGACAGAACAAAAATGCCACAAATTTCCGACCCTCCTCGGTTTTCAAATACAAAGGAGAAATCAAGCAGCGAATGAGCAAATGTTTCAAATCCTCAATGCTCTCATCCTCAAAATCAAACAGCATAAATGCGTCCCGAACTCCATAAACCCTGTGAACATCCACTTTCTTCATCAAAGTCAACGAACGGGATAAAATCACAGGTAATGACTGAGAAATCAGCCTTTCTTTCCCTTCTAAATCCCCCTTCCACCAGTCCTCACATAAATTAGCAATCTCGGACAGCAAAATTGCGTCGGACTCAAACAAAATTAAGTTATCGTGCAATGCTTGTGCAGCGGGCAACAAATCAGAAACAGAGAACGCTTTTTTGGGATGGAAAACGCAGAGACGCAGAATGTAGGCATAAACCTGGAGCTTCTCGACAATGGTTTGTCTCTCATTTTCATGGCGCCCGTCGGAGGATTCGACACCATCTCCAATGTTCCGGGCGGATCTGCGGACGCGCTTTGCTGGTGGAGTTCTCGGAGACGCCGTGAAGGTCGGGTCTGATAGGTTTTTAAATTGGGAGATGGAGTGTGAAATGGAGTTGCAGAGTGAGAGTGGGAGAGTGGAAGTTAGATCAGATGAGGGTTTAATTGAGGTGTTAATTAACGATTTTATGGCGGTTTTGGAGGATTTGTAGGGCAGTTTGACGGCGGCGGAAAGGAATTCCACGGCGGAGGTTTGCAGCGACGACCGGAGCCTTTTCTCCATTAAGTTGCCGTTCGATTTTTTCTTTTTTGGGGTCTCCAAGGTGATTTATGCACTGTTATGATGGTTTGGGTGACAGTGACAGACCAATGAAAGGAATTGAAATCCGATATCGTCGATTGGTATTCGGCTGTTACCGATCGGAAGTGACGGCTTGGTGCCAAGTAATTTGAATGTTTGAATCTCGTCTTGGCGGATACTTCTGTTTCTGCAGGAGCGGTATAATGCTTGCTAATTGCTTTTCCGTAATTGGGGAGGAATTAACCACATTTTTTTTTTTTTTTTTTTTGGTACAAGAGACGGAGGCCTGAGGCCTAAGAACTAACTAATTACTGTAGGCCTGAGGCCTACAGTAGTGGGTGTTGTGGTCGTCTGAGATGTTTGATGAGTGACTTATTAGACTGCTCCAGCTGCAACTACGTCTGATATCATCTTCGAGAGCTCCTCTCTAAACATCACGAGTTGTCCTTGCTCGACCTCACTTTTGGGTGGCCCCAATGGCTTTTTGAACAATTTCCCACATACGATGACAAATGGTATGAAAAGACCCTCGACCGGATCGATTTCGACGTAAGTTGGTTGCCTTGTCCGTAGATTGTCGTTCAAGACTTGCAAAAACTTAACATTGGAGAGTTTTTCCAGGTGAAGAGCTTCTGATGCTTAAGCATATAAGTGTGTAGAGAATGTATGTAATGTCTTAGAGGGTATACCTCACTCACGTTTATAAAGAGTATTACCTTGTTGCCCAAGACTGCCCGAACAACTTGTTCGTACGTGGCCCTATCTACGCGTGGTCCTTAATCTGTTAATATTACTTCTTATCCAGTAGCCTACTTTGTTAGACTGCCTAACCGTGCGATTGGTCCTAATCACGGCGAGGTAGAATGCCGCGTATGTTGAGCACGTATGACGTGTCTATTGGTCGATCAAACAACAAATCGTACCTCCAGGGGAGTTTCATCAGATCATCCGAAAAACCCTAACTCGACATGTCGGTGTCTCTTCAAACCTCCAACACCTTCCTCGGCCTGAAGATTCTTTGTTCTGTACTAATGTTCGACCTTCCACTGTTCCTATTCGACTATCCGGTCCGCCCGACCTGGTTAGCCGGTCTATCGAGTTTTTCTACCTGGTGTGGTACTTCATATCATGGTTGTTGTGATAAATTTGTGAAACAAATAATTATAGAAGATTTAGTAGATGTAAATATAAACAAAAAAAATAATAATAATTACAACATTTGCTTAATTAGTAAACTCAATCTATACTTATATAATAAGGTATCCTATTTATTAAATTTAGTGGTTGAAAATTCAACGTAATTAATGCATTGCTATTTGTATTCAGAATTTTATTTAATTATTTTATTTATTTGTCTTATATCCTATAAAACATTAAGAACAAAAATCTCATAACATCCAATAAGTCAAAAAAAGTACGTAAAATCTTTACTAAAATAAAAAAGGCTTTATTTATTTGTCTTATTCCATAATAACATCGATTTAGTCAAAACAAATCCCATAAAATCGGTGAAGTCAAAAATTGTACGCAAAGTCTATAAAAGCAGATTCAAAATTCATTATCTAATTCCTTATCTAATTTTTGTTTAAAGCATTTTATTTAATATTTATTTTAATGAAACACTGGATAGGATTGCTGGATCTGAGTCAATATTGAAATCGCGTTCTTTGGCATGAGAGGATTATTCGCATTCTATATCTTTCTAAAATATATTATTTAATATTATTTAATTAATTTATTTAATATTTAATTTTTTTATCCATGACATCAGTTTTGTCAAAAAAATTGAACAAACAAACAAAAAAAAAGGCACGGGATTAATTACCTTCGACTTACAAAAAATTTATGGGTGGACGTATATATATACTACAACTATGATGTTGAAATATAATTTGTTTTATGGGTGACATAAATATGCTGTTTAAAGTTCCCTAAAATATTTTTTTTTTTAAAAAAAACAATGCTATTTAAAGTTTTTTAAATATTAATATATAAGTATACACATGCTGTAATATATTAAATTTAAAACAATGTTGGAAGGCTTTTAAATTATCTAATTTAAAATTATCTAAATGAATTAATTTAAATATTTAATCCCATTAAATCTTCATTCATGGAATATTTTTACTAATCCCGTAAGCATGTTGTTTTGTTATTGTAATCAATTTATACACTATTTTACTAATAAATTATTTAATATCGATGTACAAAGAGGTCTTTAATAAGATATGATTGTTTTTTGTCGAATATTATTTTATTGGATAATTTTCCTACGTATTATAAAACTTTTATTGAATATTGCATCTTATAATATAATATTCCCCAAATAAATATATCTCGTGTCTCGCACAGGTCCGTACTATATATATCCCGTATATTTTTTTTATTCATTTATATAATTATAAAGCTGGATAAACAACCTTAAAATTGTCCATCTCCCTTAAAATTGTGCATCTCGTGCATCGCACGGGCTCTGTACTAGTATGTTTATTAACAAGTTACTATTTTGATTTTTCCAACCACGTCTTCATATAGATAGATTTTCGGAATAATAGAACTTCGTCAGGTTGTATCACTGCAAGTCTGCAACTCCTCCCTGAAAATATCCCGCCATTAAACCTTCTTCCTCGCGCCGGAAATTCCATCCACCGATCATCCCCAAATGCTCTAATCTTTCAAACAATCAGCTTTTGCGGTGCATCTTAGTAGCTCTCTGTTGCGGAATTTTCACATTCACCTGGAGCTCGTACTTTCAACTCTCGTCTAACACTTTTCAAGTGAGTGCTGTTGAGCTTACTTACTAGCTAGTGCAATTTGATATAGCATATCTGATGAATAATTTGCCAATATTTGATATCAACGAGCAAATTCGGATAACTGGGATTGAACTCCATTTTTCAGGATTGTATGTATACAAATGAAAGGTCGATTGTTTCATCTATGGCTGAATATTAAAGAATAAAAAAAAAAAAAATGAAAGGAAATAATTAGGGCTTTTCTACCATCAGTTGGGGGCACTCTTGCTAGATATTATGTGATGCAATGTTCAAAATTTCGAAACATCCAGTTTGTATCCTCTGCAACTTCTAGATTTGAGGTGTCCTTGCATATCTGTATCTTATGAATGTAGTTTGGAGCTTGGAAATGGAAAATGAGGTTGGGCTGTACGGGATGTTCACTCGGGATAATCGGTTTCGCACTTTATCATTATTGTGGTCTGTTGACATCTCATGAACATGTTGCCCTCACGCGTCACTTGTGCGTATGCCATGACTACATGCAGGGCGTAGTTACGGAATGAAACTCGTGAGGTTTAGCCTAATGAACAAAAATAACTCAGTTATCTTTCAAAATTTCAAATACCCTATTGACATCTTTTTCCTTGATATCTCAAGATGGAGATATTTAACTAGGCAGCCATATTCCTCAAGGTGGCTTTTATTATCGTTTTCGAGTATTTGTAGTTGTGAGAGAGAGGTGAAATTTCCTTGTACTCAGCTAAACCTCAGCAGTCGTTTCCGTAACTACTCCTACATGCTATCATCAACTATCAATCATCATCAGAATCTTCCTCATGGCGTGCATTGTATCTACTAAGCACTGGTAGAGATGCATTCACTGGCATCCTGAACGATCGACCGGCCCCCACTGTTGCCCCTGCCTGCATACTCCCCACATCTTTGCACACGTTATCCAGTATACCCAGAAAATCTCGTACAATCAAGAAAATCCTCAAAGGATGAGCCTCTTCTTTTGCGGCATCCCCATGAAAATACTCGGTCACCTGTTTCACCTGCGACAGAGCTTTTCTTTCCTCCGCCTTGATTCTCGCAATTTCTACAGCAGCTTCCTTAAGAAAATCTTTCATAGAGTCAAAGAATTTACCTTGTAATTCTTGTCTCTCGTACTGCATAATCAATCTGACCTTATCGAGTCCTGTTTCTAGCTTCAATACGTAGCCGCTCAAAACGTCTGCATCCATTCCCGCTGCCTTTTTTACACTGCCGAGCTCTTTGCTTAGCCCGGACACCACCTGCAGACCTTGCTTTCTGAATTCTTCTTCTTTGAATTCAAAATTGGCTTTATCCGGAAGGGTTTTGGGTGCGGGATCGGGATGCGCTCCTTCTGACCGGATAATCTCTTGGACCACGAAATGGAGTAAGGTCGTTTTTCCATCTGCCCCTTTTACATCGGCTAGTTTCAACAACGTGTCCAGTTTGAAAGCTCTGGCATCTCCTCGATTGGTACCGTCATTCATGCGGTTGCCTGTTCTTAGAACAGCTTCTAGAAGTTTAAGGAACAGGCGGCTGTTCTTCAGTTCTTCACTAGCTTCCTGCGTAAAATACAAAATCCAAACGTTTATGCTTTCCCCACAAAACATTCCGTGGAAAATTATTTTGTTGACAGACAGATAAAATGGTGTGTTTTGTTTTGCTCTCTTTTTCTCTTTGTACCTCGAGAGTTTGGAAAGACTTTCTCAAGTACAAGACTTCCGTGTCGAAGTTTGCTCTGTACAGCATGGCCTCCACTCTTTTGAATGCACATGGGATATCTAGTATTCCCTTGAGGAATCTCTCTGCTGATCCTAGTTTTGAGACGTCGCCACTGTAATCTTTGAGTTTTATCTCCTCCTCCTTGGTTGGTGCCATCTTCACTAGAGTCTCCAAAAGCTCTGGACCCAATGCCTCGGGATTTCCTGCAGCAAAAGTAATAGCATTTTGATGAGTCTGAGAAATTTAAACAAGTTCTCGATACTTGCAATAATGTTTAATCATTGTAAACTAGGAGTTAGCATCAACCAACAGGATTCCTATGTCATCTCATGCACCACGATCATCAACCAGCGGGAATTCTATGTCATCTCGTATTACTTCAAGCTCAAGAAAAAATGCGTACTTATGAAATATGAAATGCTTGTAAAGAACGCAACTCTCACAGCACAGGGTTACATTTTGTTTGAAATCTGACTTCATTCTGTGTTTCTTATTATGCTCCATTATCGTCTGAGGACTTTGATTGTGGTAACATTTATACAAAAATCATAGTATCATTAACATAAAATTTTTTATTGGGTCAGCATGGTTTAAGGGATAGGAAGAATGACCAAATTAGTTCACCATCAAAGAGTCATGTCTTTAGAAATGTTAACCATGGGAGATAATAAGTGATGGTCAATTGCTATTTCACATAAAGGAAAGGAACTATTGGTTTAGTTTTATCTGCTACTTGTAAAATTTGCATAATTTTATAGTAGAAAGAATTGGGTAGCTTACCATCTAAAAGTGCTTCAGAAACCTCTTCTCTTGTTACATTTAACGCACGTATCAATATAGCAATGTTCTGCGATTTCTTTGGATCCAACACTCTATTCTCCTTCTCCGAAGCGGGTAAAGCTGACTTTCTATTTCCTGTTTCTTTAGTAACTGAAACTGTGGAATTACAGCTGAATAGCGACTCCATGGCATCCTCATTCAACCTGTAAGTACACATATCCACAATTATAGATTGCACACAAGATTGTATTCCTCAAAGAAAGTGTAATATCACTTACTGGAAGGAGCTTGACTTCAAGTTGTCCCAAACCGTGGCTCGTTCTGATGTAGCCCGTACTTTGTCCCAGTGCAAAGGCTTCAGTTTAGGCCTCGATCCATCTTTATCCTCCCTGTCTTCTTTCCCTGACGACCCGACACCTTTATAAGCATCACAACCACTGGGGACTACTATGTTCTCAGTCCCTGAACTTCCCTTGGAACTCGGACTCATCGACTCTGGCCTCGTCACTTTTTTTGAAACTGGCGAAGGTGTATTCGGCTCTGCAGCTCCAAATTTTATTGGGATCGACTGCTTTGCCGCCGCCACTGCCGGAGGTGGAGGTGGAGGTGGAGGCGGTGGTGGTGGTGGAGGAGGAATTGAGATCTTGTGTGCCGGTTGATCTTCATTGCTAATTGACTGGAGCCTTGCCATATCAGGCGGAGGAGGTGGCCCCGCGAATTTCGGTCTTTTGTGAGTATAATTTAACATCTTGTCCAATGGCGACGGCCCTGAAGAAGAAATCGACACTGCCTCTGTCGGCGGCGGTTGTCTGATGGATGGTATTATCACAGGCTTTGCGTCTCGGGACGAAGCAGAAAGCCGTGATCTTGGTGAAGTTCGCTTTGAATGGGGCACCCGGCCATGATTTTCCTGCCTGGTGCCATTTACCTGGTTTATTTGGGTGATGAGGTTATTCGCATAATTATGCCGTGAGCCAGGGGACTCGTTGCTCATGCTCGACCCTTGCGGGGTGTAGAAATTGGTGTCGTGGCTCTCTTCATCCGAAGAAGACATTGGCGGTGGCGAGCTTATGGCTGCTGCCGGCGGCGGCTTTGGCAGTGGCGGCAGCGGCTGCAGCTCAGGGCTGGGCCGGTACCGCTCGGATCTTTTCCCAGGGTTCAGTTTTCTATACGGGGAGTCATTAGCGCCGTTGGTCTCGCTTGCAACGCTTTGTGCAGAGGGCTCGACAGTCCCTATGTAGAGGAAGTTGGACGGTGGAACTCTCGATTCTTGGCTGGCGGCTGTATGTGAGTTTGGACCGAAGGGCTTCTGGGACTCGTCCTGATTTTTCGACCGCTGCCTGTAGAGGTAAAATGCGAGTGCTGATATCAGGGCCAGTGCGAGAACTCCCGATGCTACAGCAATTGTGACTTTTTTGGCGGGGTGTGATGTGGGAGTGGTGACTGAATTGGCCACCGGCGTGGTGCTGCTGCTGCTGGGTGACGGTGGTTGTTGGGCCTGATCCGTGGGAGGCCCGTTCGGGAGCTCATGGAAGAATGGCTGGTCCGGGTTGAGAGTGTCGGGCCCAGCAGGTGGCGGCGGCGATGGCGGAGGAGGTGGTGGTGGTGGGGTTGTGCTGGCTGGGAATAAGGGCTGATGCAAAATTCTTCTGCTTTTTCCTTCATCTGGTGATTTGGAGAACGATGATTGGGTAATGAATGATAGAATTAAGAGAATGTTAATTATAAGATCAGCTCTCATAGTTCTTGTTCTGTGGTGAGCTTTCTTATTGTGCTCTTTTCTTTCATCTTATTCATCTCTAGTCACTTCTTTTTGCTCCTAAATTCTGTGTGGTCACCCAGTGTGTAGAGAGAGGATGTGACAGAGAAAAGGGAGAGAGAGAGAGAGAGAGATAGAGAGAGAGAGAGAGAGAGACAGAGAGAGAGGCTGTAAAGGAGAAGCCTCTGGCTCTGTGTGCTACAAGATCTGGATGCTTTTCTTTCTCACATCAACAGCCGCGCACTTTTTCCGTATGATAAATTATTCCAGGTTTTTTCTTTTTTCTATATATTTAATTATATGGCATATAATATATTGCGTGTGTACTTGTACATGGAATTATTAGAGATTAATCAGATAATTTAGAACTGTGACTGTGAGAGTGAGAGGTGTGTGTGTGTTAGTTTAAATGGATCGAAAGTTAATCGGGTTTTTCATCGTTGAATCAACGTACACTCCGGCGTTGGCATGATTGTATAGATTTAACGGTGAATGATTCAGTTATGCTTTAAATGAATCAAAAGCTTCATCTTGATGATTATATGGTGTGGTGCTTTATCAATTATGCTTTTTTGGATATTATTAAATGGACGATGATGATGATAACGTAGTGGTAAGGGGAAAGAAGGACCACGTTGATTTCTAGCTTTTTTGTCCAGAAGGAAAAATGAATTTATGTTATCGTTATAGACTTATAGTGCTTTTTTCTTCTTCTTTTTTTTTTTCTTTTCTTTTTTAAATTGTTGTATTGTGCTTTTTTTGATTGGTGGTGGCCGAGATGGACGTTGCTCCACCGACGGAGTGTACAATTTGCCTTCCTGCTGCCATCAAATCCACGCCGAGGGAATATAATTTTAACACGGTAACTTGTCCTTTGGGGAAAAAATAGAATATATAATGTTGTAAGCTTTATTCGTTGTTTATTCACTCTCTTTTCAACCCTCTCTTCTACAATAAAAAATCAGGTTACGCACCCGTATGGGTTTTACTTTTTGGTGGTAGTATTTTATTTA